AGAACCAGTCCAAACAAGATAAGCAGGTGCGCGCAGCAAAGAACCAGGCAGATTATTTATTGTTCCCCCATCTTCCTTACCGGAGTCCTCATCAGAAACGGGTGCTGTAGCATTTTCAGGTGGTTGCATGATTATGGCACTTGCTTTTGCTTCTATGTTGTCACACATCTTTAAAATATCAGTTAACTCATGTAAGGTTATTCCGGACATCTTGTGTCTTGGAAAATTATTTCAACTAAAAAAATATGAAGAGAAAATATATGAGTTCTTGTGATAGTGGTTTTGCCTAATGTTCCAAAAATGGAACACTGGAAATTTCAAGCCTATAACTAATTCAAAACTAATAGCTTTTCTATTTTCTTTTTGCAGGAATAAAGAGTAACTAATTGAATAATAACATAATTTTTTTTTTACAATTTTAAAGTATAATGCAACAAACAGAGTTACCTGTTTATAGATGAATCTACAAAAACCTTGACAAAAATGAAGACCAAAATTTCACAACATCACAGCAACCAAATATCTGCAGGAGTGACATACTCTGTGTTCTAAGCAAAACCATATGCCCTTATAAACTGGCTGACGTCACAAATCCAACCACGTGTGCGTCCTTGAACCCGTTGGCTAAACTTTTATGTGAGGGGTGTTCCAAAAATGGAACAGTAGGCATAAATGGGAGACAGAGAAGCGATTATCAGCAGCTCAGTCAGTTTGAATGAGGTTGTGTAATTGGGCTACGAGAAGGTGGATTTTCTTTCCGCAATATTGCAGGAATGTATCCATTCTAAATGATTGTTGTCAGCAGTGGTCAAGGAAAAGTACTGTCTCAAGAAAACCGTGTTCCAGGTGGCCATGTGGCACTGCCAAAACAGAAGGCTGCCATGTTCATCATATAGCTATGCCACATTGTAATGCATCTGCAGCAGAAATTCCAGCTGCAGTTGGCACCACAGTGACACAATGAACTGTTACAAGTTGGTTACTTGACAACTCCAATGCCCTGTAGTGTGCATTCCACTGACACCAAACCACTGCCATTTGCAATGTAGTGTTATCAAGCTAGATCTTATTTAGAGGACGGAGTGGAGAGATGATTTTTTTATTGCAGGCAGTTCGGCTTTGGTGCCGGTGATGGCCATGTGTTAATTAGGAGGCCTGATGACCCTTTGCAGCCTAGACACACTGGAGTTATGTTTTCAGGAGCAATTTTGTATGACAGCAGAACTCTCCTAGTTATTCCTTGCACCCTGATTATAAATTTGTGTGTCGTTCTAGTCATTCAACCAGTTCTGCTGTCATTCATGTGCATCATTCAAGGAGGTGTTTTCCAAGAGAATAATGTTTGCCCTCATACTGCTGTTGTAATGTTCATGTGTTGCCTTGGCCGGCTAGAAGCCTTAGCCGCTAAACCTTTCTCCAATCAACTACATGTGGGCCATCACTGGATGACAACTCCAGCGTTATCCACAACCAGTATTAACTCTCCCTATATTGACTGACCAAGTGCAACAGGCATGGAACTCCATCCCACAAAATAACATTCAGTACCTATGCGACACAATACAATGCTTGCATTCAAAATTCTGGCAGTTATTAATGTAACAACATTTCACATTTGAAATAGCTCTTCTCGTAATTGAATTTCATACCTGCCAACTTTTACGAATTTTTCGTAATTTTTATGAAAATGCGTTTGCCTTTACGATTTTACAATTGTAATCCATCTTTTACAATTTTTTTCCTTTTTCAAGTGTTTTTAGTGATTTTTGTCGAAATTTTAGAATTTTTCGCCAATTCCAATTCAGCGACTTTTGCCAATTGCATCGTGTTTTACCGCCAACTACCGACTACTTCGAATCCAGTAACCTGCGTTTTCTCCCAACTCGCTGCTTAACCAGCCAATCCAATGCGCTGAACTTGTTTCTCCCACTCTTTCCTTTGTGGGCGCCAGATTATTTTTTTCGCATTCGCTTCAGCAGCAAGGGAATTACTCAGCGAGTGTGGATTGTCGCATTCTGGTTTTTTGTTTTGTTTTGTTTTGTTTTTTTGTTTGTTTGCATGTGCTACGAATTTTCTTAATACGTTGTTGTTACGAGATGTCACTCATTTCAAATAAGTTTAAAAAAAAAACGTATTCTCAATATTTTCGGCCTGCCTACAAAGCCGAATTTAGAACAATTAAAGAATCCTTCAAAGGAAATAACTATGCATTTTGCAACGTGTGCGTGTGTGACTTCATAATAAGTCACGGTGGAAGAAGCAGCATTGTGAAGCATGTTAAGTCTAAAAAGCATGAAGTTAATGCTTCGGCTTCAACAACGTCAAAGAAAGTGGATGATTTTTTCTCAAATTCGGCTACGAATTCGGATGCCGATGTCATTTTGGCAGAGTGTTTGTTTACTGCATTCCTCATCGAACACAACGTGCCGCTAAGCGCTGCCGATCACGCCAGTCAACTTTTGAGACGGGTGTTTCCCGACTCGAAGATTGCTCAGAAATATGCTTGTGCTGGCACGAAAACATCTTCTATTGTGAACGAAATTGCTTGCGATGCACAAAGTAAAACGATAGCTGCACTCCAGAATTCAGCATTTTCGGTGTCAATCGATTGCAGCAACGACAGCGATTGGAAGCTTTACCCCATCGTTGTCACATATTTCTGTGATGTTTCTAATGAAATGAAAACTCATCTTTTCCGTCTTCCATTGTTAAATGGAGACGCTACGGAGGAAAATATTGCCTCCTTGGTAATTAATGAGTTGAAACAACTTAACATCCCAATATCAAATTGCATTTCATTTGGTGCAGATAATGCTCATGTCATGGTGGGTGACAAAAAGGGTGTAGCCTCTTTCCTCAAAAAAGAACAAAATGAATTAATTGTTATTGGAGGATGCCCATGCCACTTAATTAATTTGGCAGCAGAAAAAGCTGCAGCTGCTTTACCATTAAATGTTGACCAGCTTCTGATTGATGTGTTTTTCTATCTGGAAAAAAGTGTAAAAAGGAAAGAAAACCTAAAGAATTTCCAAGAACTGTGTTCTGGTGAAACAAGAAAAATTCTGAAACATGTATGCACGAGATGGTTATCCTTAGGCAGAGCGCTAGGAAGGTTTATTGAACAATGGGATGCATTGCTAAAATATTTCCACGAAGAGACCAAAACGAAACCACAGATCCCATCTAATTTGTCGGCATATAAGATACCGAAAACCAACTTTGCTTCTAATCAAAATGCTTTAAAAGGGAAAAGCCAACACACAGTATCAAACCCTTTAAAAAGAAAATGCTTAGAAGACTCCTCAAAGGTAAACTTTGTTAAAGAAGTTGAAGGGAAGAAGAAACAGTCTTCTATTAGCCGGGAGGAAAGGATTTTCTGTCTTCTTTCTTTGGATTTGAACAAAGCATATTGTAGTTTTGTCTTAAGTACCATTAAGATTTTTGAAAGTTGTAAATACCCTTCTACAATCAGCTTCGCCAAAATCTCCCCTGCTGTATCCAAATTCTTAACGATCTTTTGAAAGAACTTTTATACTAAGTTTGTAAAACCGTCCGTTGTGAAAAACATGTGTTGTTGATTCGTGTTGCCTATAATAGTTTGGCAAATCAAAGGATGGACAATGATCTTATAATTGGAAACCAGGGAACTTGTAAATTCTTTGAAAGATCATGAGAAAAAAGAATTTTTTCAATGTGTTAGAAAGTACTTTTCCTCAGCCTGTGATTACATTGTAAGGAAGTTTCCTTTGCAAAATGAAGTTCTTTTAAATGCTGAAGTGGCAAATTTGAAAGAAATTGAAAATTCGTCTTTTGAAAAGATTTGTTTTTTTATTGATAAATTTCCATTTTTGTTTAACAATTAAAGAAAATGAATGCCATAATGATGCTTTAGATGAACTACAGAACCAATTTTCTGCTGCACAGTTTGAAGACTTTGCCAGTTCTGGAGAAGATAGACTTGATGTCCTTGTTGTTACCTTAAAAAGAATAAAAAGAGCTGATGGAACACCAAAATATGATACACTAGTAAGAGTTTTATGTGCTATTCTCGTAATTCCACACAGTAATGCTGAGTGCGAGAGAGTCTTCAGTGTTGTGAAGAAAAACAAAACTATGTTTCGTTCATCAATCAATTCACCAAAAACTCTAGAAAACATTTTAATTGCTAAATGTTATGAGGAAACTAATTGTTATGACAGGAAATTTTCCAGAGAATTTTTGGCTAAAGCCAAAAAATGCACTCTAAATTCATTGCAATAATTTTTTTGTGTAACATTAAGTTCTTGTTTTATGTTTCCTAATAAATTTTTTAGTTACTACTTAATTGAGATTTACTAACGTAAGTACAATTTTCTTTTTTCTATTTGTATAAATTGTTATTTTTTTAAACAATGATATTAATTTTTCGTGTTCTTCTGAATTTTGGAGAAATGAATTTTCATCTTTAGAGGTTGGCAGATATGGAGTTTAAAAATTTAATCAATTAAATATGTTAGACAAATGTATTGTTGAAATTTCATCATTCTACATTGCTTTTTTTTTTTTTTTTTTTTTAAAAAATACGACCAATTGAATGGAAGTTCTGCAATAATTTTTTAGTTGCATTTTGCAAAGTGTTGCTGTAGAAATATTTTTAGCAGATAAATGTAACATTTTATTTATTGGTAGTTATGGATGATAATTATCAATTGTAAGTTAAATGATTAACATGAAAAAATAAATTTCCATTTTTCCTTGTGTATTATGGGTTGCATTTTCAGTAATTGATAACTTGTATGAAATTTTTCATTTTTTCATTGATTATTTTTTAATGCTGTTGGATTATTTAAAATTTCTCTTTAATGCCATTTTATTATATTAATTTCAGAATATCAGTTGTTGTGTACTTGTTCTCCAAATTTAGCATTTCTTCACAAATTGTTTTTCTGAGAATTACATATTCTATACAGTGTTTAGCAGTTTCTCATATCTTTTAAAGCATATTGTATTCTTCTGTCTAGATGGCAGTTATTGTAAAACGTTTGTCAGAAGACAAAAAAACAACTGAATATACAAGAGTTTTTCTATGCATGTTTGATACGCAGTATAGACAAGCATCTAAATGGCTTTGGAGACAAATGTAAGTATAACTGGTATACGGGTGTTTGGGGGGCTGACTTATCTCTTCTTCTTTATATATATAAATATATTAAGATATATAACTATCTTAATATATTTATATATATAAAGATGTAACTAAATATACTTATATATAAAGATATATGATATTGTGATATATACTGTTGATATTATACTAAGATATATCCATTTAAAAAACGGGTTTAAGGCAACTTTTTTCCCCTTTGTATATATTTATATACAGTGGTGGCCAAAATTGTGTACACTTTTGGAAATTTTTATGTTTTTGAACTTTGTATGCTTATAGAAAACGTAACGTTTCACAAAATGCAGACTTGTATATATCATTTTAAAGAGAATTTATTACTGAATTCAATACAAGACACAAAATTCAGTTATTTGCAATACAAAAAAGTTAAACGATAATAGTTATCGATATACATTAGATAGTGATAATTGCAGTGAGTTATCAGTACTTAGTAGGGTACCCTTTATTTTTGATTACAGCTTCACATCAACGTTTCATTGAGCTGACAAGAGTTTTAAGCTCTTCTTTCGTTATTACATGATGCCAGGGAATAATTATAGCCTCAATTAGTTCCCTTTTATTTGATGTGCGCCTCATTCGGACAAGAGTTTTTAAACGGTTCCACAAATTTTCGATAGGATTGAGGTCAGGACTGTTTCCTGGCCATGACAACAATTTAATGCTCTTTGTACGAAACCACTCTTTCGATATTTTGGCTCTGTGGAAAGGAGCAGAATCTTTCTGAAAAATAAACGAAGCATTGTTGGGAAAGAGATCTCTGATGGAAGGTAGAAGTTTTGGTTCTAGAATAGTGTCAATGTATTTTCTGGCATTCAGTGTCCCATCGATGACATGAAGGCGACCAATACCATCTGCTAACATGCCTGACCAAATCATAACACTAACTGGGTTCTTCACAGTTGCTTGAATGCAGTCAGGATGTAGCTCTTCTTCTATTCTACGCCTCACATATTTTCTCCCATCACGACCGAATAACGATATCTTAGTTTCATCAGTCCATCCGTATAACTTGTGACCACTGATCATCTGTCCAATTAATTTGTTCCTTTGCCCACTGTAGTCTTTTTTTTCGTTGCTGAAAATTAAGATAAGGCTTTTTCGTGGAATTCTACCTCTCAGTCCAACATCTGTTAATCTTCTCCTAATTGTTCTTGAACTGACAGAAACACCAGCATCATTCAGATCACTTCTGATGGCCGCTGATGACATTTGTCTATCTTGGAGATATAGTCTTTTTATTCTTCTGTCATCAATAGATGTGGTGCACCTTTTTCGGCCTTTAACTTCTTTGTTTCTTATTGAATTTGTCTCCTGATATCGTAAACAAACTTTCGGACTCCAGATGTAGTCACTGAACCACCCACCTGTCTTGCAATTTCAGCATAGGAAAGACCACTTTCTCGTAACACAATAATATTATATCTCTTTTTAGGTGTCCAATCTACTCTTTTATTTGATGTCATTGCTTGACTAAATATTAAAAATTTTTACAAATATTCCTACTTGTAACTGCAGTGTATAAGAAACAGGTACTCCTTCTACAGAACAAAGCAAAATAATGAATTGTTTCAAGTGTAAACATGATGTCGGCTTCTACTGGCAGTTACTAAAATTTGATTGGTTCTCAGAACAAGAACAGTGATTGGCCAGGAAAGCTAGACATTATAAACCACTTCATAAGTGTGTTTTTTATTTATATTAAAGTACATATAACTTTTTTGGTATTGCAAATAATTGAATTTTGTGTTTTGTATTGAATTCAGTAATAAATTCTACTTAAAATGATATATACTAGTTTTTATTTTGCGAAACATAACATTTTCTATAAGCATACAAACTTCAAAAACCTAAAAATTTCCAAAAGTGTCCACAATTTTGGCCACCACTGTATATATACATATGACAAAATAATACGAACACCTGTGAAATATTGGAAAATCTGTATTAGTAGGGGGTTAAACCACCCTTTGACTGAAGTACAGATTGAATGCGACATGGGATAGATGCATAAAGGTGATGGACAATATTTAAAGGAATATTAAGCCATTCCTCCTGCAGGGCGGTCTCTAATTCCGAAAGTCCGGATGGAGGTGGAAATTGGGAACGAAGTTTGGACTCCAAATATGCCCATAAATATTCGATAATATTCAAGTCTGGAGACTGAGGGGGGGGCCAAGCGAGATGTTCAATTGTATTGTCATGCTCTTCAAACCATTCTTGAATACACCTAGCAGTGTGGATGTGGATGTGGGTGTTGTCTTGAAAAAGGCGGTTACTCCCCAGGGAATACAGTGTAGACAAAAGGATGTACATGATCCCTCTAGAATGCTTAGATAGTGATTAGATCTGATCGACCCATGCAGAATAACAAGTGGTCCAAGACCGTGCCAAGATATTGCACCCCAATCTGTAATGCCGCCACCCCCATGCATCACAGTCGGCAAGAAGCAGTCAGGATGAAACGCTTCTTTGCGTTCTCCAGACATAAGCGCATCCTGTTGTCTGGAATAGGGTGAATGACGATTCATCTGACCATATTACCTGTTGCTACTGCTGTGGGGACCAGCCTTTGTGATTTCTGCACCATTGGCATTGCTTGAAAGCATTAGTTGTTGTCAACAAGGGTTTAAGAATTGCCACTGTGACATAAATGTTCGCAGCATGAAGTTCCTTTTTGACAGTTTTTGATGAAACTGGGTCCGGGAGATGACTGTTCATTTCGAATGTTATCTGGGATAACCATTGCTTATGCTTTCGGGCTACTATGCGCTTCAAGACCCGTCTATCCCTATCATCCAGCTTTGACTGCATCCTGCAGCCACTGTTGTGCTTAGAAGACGATATCTTAACCTCTTTCGTGTATGCTGTCATAACGGCCGATACCATACTCCTTGCACCACAAGGTTTGCTGTTTCCGTAACCAATGGTCCACTTAAACGTGCTCCAACTACCATTCCTTTGTGGAACTCTGACAGGTCTGACATTTCAACTTCTCACAGACAGTTCAATCGAAGCATGCAACGCAGATGACTGCTATTGAGAGACTGATACCTTCCTCTTCATGCTCACTAGATGGCAGACTTAGGTGTGAAATACGTCATACTTTTTCACAGGTGTTTGCATTATTTTGTCTTCCATCTGTATACATATATACAAAGGGAAAAAAAGTTGCCTTAAACCAGTTTTTGAAATGCATATCTTAATAGTAGCCTGTTGTGTTGCAAATTAGTATATTTTTTAACACATTTAGTTGTGTGCTTGATTATAATATGAAAGTATGCTGACATATAATAAGAAGATAAGTGTATTTATGTATTACTATTATTTCTATTTTGCCTTATATTCTTTTTATTTTTCTAAATTGATTTTCATTCAAATTGTTTATTATAAATAATTTACTTTATATGTGTATTTTGCTGTTTGATTTTTTTCTCTTATCAGTACTGTAGCCAATAAATTTGTGTAGTTTGTGTATTTATGAGATTAGGGTAATAAAGTGGAAATTTTGGTAGGATGTGTTTCCTCACATTTTGTCTGCATTCTTGTCAGAGATTAAAAACAGTGAAGGTCTCCTTTTTACTAAATGGTTCTTTCCCTTTAAAAGGGGGGGATTATATTCTAAGAAAGTGAATTTTACTATTTTTAATCCTCTTCCTCCCCTCAGGTGCAACATTAAAATGCAAAATGTGACTGAAGCTCTAATGGTGTTATTGTAATATATTCAACCAAATAATGTTTCAGAGCCATTTATTTCATGTACATTCAAACATGTCCTCTTTTTCCAGAGGTTAATCATCCTGAAATGCTGTTACGTTTTGTAGCTTAATTATTCTCTTTAACTGATTTAATTAGCCAGCAGTATTGTTCTTTTGAAGAGTCTCTATTTTTTTCTGTCATTAGGCTATATCCTAAATACTTGTGTATTTTGGAAAAATTGACTTTTTCTTAAAGTCTATATTACTTTATTAGTGTAAGTTGCTGTAACATTTTCCTGTATTATTAAAAATGCTGTGTCAATAAAATTTGTTCCTTTTAAGTTGTTATAGTGTATTAATATATTATGCATTACAATTTTTAATTTTATAAATTAAGAATTTTTTTTGTTTTAGTCCTAAAATGTGTGGTACATTCGAGGTATTTGAGCATTAGGGGTTTTGTTTCAGAGAGTGTTTTACTTTGGCCTTTTTTCTTTTTCTTCAGTACAAATTGCCTTGGATTATTCTTCGGAATTTGATTTTGTTTAGTTCGAAATTTCGAGCTGTAATATGTATGTCAGTCTGAAATTTTTTAGATATATGTAGAATGCATGAATGGCAGGGGGAAAAAAAACTGTTAGATTTGAAAATATGAACCTAGCGGACAATTTTATTTATCAGCCAGTTGCAAGTAGTTTAACGTCTAGTAAATTTTAGCCAGAAGCAGAAATGGAATTGATGTAAGAACATTATCACACTATGATTTTAAAGTGGGATTAAATCAAGAAGAATACGTTCGTCTACAGTTAGCATTTGGAAATTCTGTCCCTGTCCATTTCGTGTGCTACTGTATTCAAATGGTTTGTAGAATATGACAGAAGTCGCAGTTCTCATCAGGATGAAGAACACAGGGAAAGGCCATTGTAAGTAGTAATCCCGGATAATATATCTGTATTCAGAAAATGTTAATGAATGATTATCCCTGCACTTATCAAATGAAGCAGAAGGAACTCAATATTGGATCCACTGTGACACATAAAATGATTCATGAAGAATTGCATATGAAAGACCTCGTTGGCCGTTTAGTTACATAATTTAACTGAGCACCAAAAAGAGGAGCATGTCAGAATCAGTAAAGAAAGCTTTAAATTACTTAAAGATGGTGATCACCATATTATTTTGAAAATCGTAACTGGTGATGAAACATGCATATCATTTTTTGATGCTGTTCTTCTTCAGTACAGGACTGGTTAGCTG